GGCGCCTTAGCCGGTTGAGCCACAGGCGCCGAGCCAATAATACTTAATGAAAAGGCAAGATTCCCTTCAAAGAAATTACCTTTCTAGATAGTCATGTTTGGCCATTATTTAGATATAGCATGTAATCATTTGTCAAGGAAAAAAACTTTTTAATTATATGTATTCATGGGGCATATAGTGATGTTTCTATACAACGTATAGTGATCAGATCAGGGAATGAGCATGTCCACCATCTCAAACATTTATCATTTCTTTGTGTTGGTAATCTTCTATATCCTCTTTTCTAGCTATTTTAAATTCTAATATACATATATTGTTTTCTATTCTATAGTGGTATTCCCTTATCTAGCTATAATTTCATATCCTTTAACAAGGATTCTATAAATTTTATTCTATAGGGCAAAGAATATTTTATTACTATGGAAATAACCGCCCAGTACAAACAGCCAGAGTGTCTTGTGTGCTAGATACAAAGAATGAGTTATTCCTCTCTAAGGAAACTTAGATGTTATTTATCCTTATCAGTAATAATTCTTCACATTTATATAGGTTTTAGTTTATAAACTTCATTTTTATATATTACATTACTTCATTTGATCCTCAGAAATAACCTTATCAAGTAGGCCTAACAGGTATGTGCAATACCTTTTACAAATGAGAATTAAATGAGGTTCAAAAATTTTCCTAAAGTCATGCAGCTGTTTAGTGACAGAGCTAGGACTAGAATTCTGAGTTGAGGGTTTCTTAATAAAAATGCCCCCTAAAATTATTTTGACTAATTCTTTACTATCAATAACTTCCTCTCAAAGAGTAAAGAATCAAGCACACTGAATTGATGTGTTTGTGTCTGTATAAATATGTCTAGTGTGTTCTTAAAAAGGAACAGCAGCATCACTAAAAAAGGATTCTTTTACTTTAAAAAAGAAAACTCTTTAAAATATTCTTTACTCTTTCAAATATTCTTGCTTTTCTTCTCTCAATTCTGGCATTTAAGATGGTAATAAAGGTGTTGAACTAACTTAGGTTCACAAAATAAGCTATACTTATTTATATATGCTTATAGCATTCAAAATATACTATGCAGTATTATAATGAACAGAACGAAACATTCTCAATTACTAAAACGATGTTGACATCTAATTCTTCCCAATGAACATTCACAAACAAGGTTTTAGCCTACGTCTTCAATTCTTCTTTTCACTTCCCTCAGCTTCTGATATTGAGCGTCTATAATAAAGCAAATACTGGCTTTAGCAATAAACTACATGATAACACAATTTAAAGAGCTTCCAGTACTTTTACTCAGTGTTGTTGTGGTATAAAAAGTAAAAGAATTCCCATGGTCTTATCTATTCTATTAGTATTAGCCTACTCTAGTAACTAAAAAAATACTTATATTATATGGCTCATATTCTTCTCCTAACATGAAGTACTCTGATCCCCACAATTTTCCAATACTTATTCTTTTCCTTGATTGCAAAAGCATTAATTATACCATCTCAAACTTGTAAGATTAAAGCATCATAAATTCTCCAAATTCCTTGGCCCACACATCAGTTGAACAAGAGGTGAAAAGTGAAGGGTTAAACAAAGGTCATATTTTCAATACTTTACATTAGAAAGTACAAGTAAGGACACTGCTCTGAATATTAATAAATCCTTCACTTTAAAGTGAATTCAAATTGTTCTTTGAACTACGTAAGTCTAGAAATACAATATTTGTAAGTTACTTGCAATCAGAGCACTCTCCTCAACAGAACTTGTTAAAGTGTGGGGTCTTAACTCATTTTTCTATTTTTGTTTTATTTATATATTCTGCCACCTTTTCCTATACAGTCTATCACATTTAAAAAGAAGAGGTCCTGGGTGGTGCCTGTGGCTCAGTGAGTAGGGTGCTGGCCCCATACACCAAGGGTGACGTGTTCAAACCTGGCCCTGGCCAAACTGCAACAAAAAATAGCTGGGCATTGTGGTGGGCACTTGTAGTCCCAGCTACTCAGGAGGCTGAGGCAAGAGAGGTTGCTGAAAGGTTGCTGTCAGCTGTGACACCACAGCACTCTACCAAGGGTAAAAAAGTGAAGCTCTGACTCTAAAAAAAAAAAAAAAAGAAGAGGTCCTCTAACTTCCAACAGCCACATTTACATCCATTAATCAAGACTACTCTACACTGCCTTCCAAAAGTCATATTAATAGTCTCTTTTATTAACTGATTAACACTTTTAACTGTATAGGAATGTTGCCCTCCAGCCTAAAGCTCAACTTCTATAGTAGTATCATATTTGTTTTACAATATTCATACAACTTTTAAAGTATTTCACTATGCTATCCCACTATAATCTTATTTTATAAATGAGTAAAAACAACAAAAGCAGCAAGGATTGACATTAAGAAGAAATGTAGGCCCTAAATCTCTTATAATTAAGACAATGCTAAATTCATTCACTCAATAAATATTTTTTGAGCACTTTCAGTATACTATTATTCCAAGTGCTTGAAATACAGCAGAAAGCATGGAGCTTACATTCCAGCAAATGTAAGCACAGTGTACTTGGAGTGGATGAGAGGGAATCACTAGATAAGCCAAAGAAAGGTTTAGCCTCAGCTGGATACTTACGAGACTTAATCCAATAATTTAAATGTTAATAAAGGATGACAGTATCAAAGTACACTAGAAATATGCCATTGAAGATTATACCTAATCAATTGTAAACAGAGCCTTAAACTACTTTTCGTTCTTTGGGTATTCCCCATCCCCTACTGTCATATAAAATGTGAAGTCTACTATCTGCTTTTTATACATTCAATTTTAGTGTACAGTAGCACCTCTGTAAATTGACCAAACAAGAAATTGTAGCAAACTAGTCAGGTGATAAACATAAGAAACTAGGCCTATGTACTGACACATACATGTAAGGCATGTCTGGTCTATGCAAAGTAGGAGAAGGTCACCGTAGGGAGGTGGTCAGCTATGGAGGTTCCACTGTATTTGTAAGAAAGCATTATACGTGAAAATAGGAGAACACCTGTTCATAACTTTGTCTATATTAATAGAGTCAAATGCCAACCATATTAATTCTTTCTCCCTTTTCCCATATCTTCTTCTAACACTTTCATATTTTTTGTTTCACAGATATAAGCAAACTTGTCACATCAGAAGGCCATACAAAAAAAGTCAAAGAAGTTGGAAATTTCTACCGTACATGGCAAGGTTCTAGGTATTTCTTTTTAAAAAGCTAGGTATATAAATAAAGCTGAGTAAGAGTTGTAAAGAATGATTCAAAAAAAAAAAAAAAAAAGACTCCACCTTTGTCAGCAATCAAACTGCATTTAATACTGAAGGGTTAAACTCATTTGTGAATTCTAGATTCTGCAAATAAGCTGAAATGGTAATCTAAGGAATGGTAAAGTAAACCTCAGAAACAAAGATTAACAATGTCTATAGTTTTAGAACAAAATGGATAGCCAATTACAACTGTCATCCCTCAGTATCCATGGAGGATTCATCCCAGGAACCTCTACATAGACCAAAATCCATGGATGCTCAAGTTCCTTATAAAAATGACATCCTCTCATATATTTTTAAACCATCTCTAGATTACTCATAATATGAATACAATGTAAATACTATGTAAATACTTGTTACATTGTTTAGAGAATAATAAGAAAAAAATCTATGCATGTTCAGTACAGATGCAACTATCCTTTTTTTCTGCCCCAATATTTTTGATCCACAGTTGGTTGAATCAGAACTCAAGGGTATGGAGAGCTTACATATATCAAGAAAAGAAAATTTAAAACTATACCA